GATACAGAATCTCACGTTTCATATTAAAATGCACACTTACTCACGTTAGCGTGCCATTTGTTCGCACAGACAGCAAGCAAATTAAGTATTACGGATGCCGTGTAAAATCGCCATTGATGCAAGATCTACTTTGGTTGCATAGGAGATTGTAGTTAATTTCTCTCTACAAAAAGCAAGAACATGTTTAGTGCAGTAAAGTGGTGTTTTTTTAGGCGAAGAGAAATTGCAAATTGAACATGACGTGAGACGTGTCCATTTTTAGTATAAAGAGAATGATTAGTTGTTCAGCGACATTTTTATATATATTTAATTTCGCAGTTCCCTTGGGCATCCAGTATGCTACAATACCAGGTAGGTAGGAGAATTCCTGATTTAGAAGATATATTGAGGGAACTGCTATCGATTTTGCCGTCATTTATACTGGCTAGTAACAAATTGGAAGTGTTGGGCAGAATGTGTTCAACATATTTGCTTCACTTGCTTGCTTCCTTCAACGAAACCTGCCGCTAAAACTAGAATCCTTTATGCAAGCTGCCACTGTAACAAGACGGCGAGATTAATGCCGTCTGCTCTGTTTGCACCGTGTGATTATCTATAATAGCATTTTTGACCTGAAGTTTCGCATTCCCAGCAGACAATACTGTATTTGCTGCCTCGCAGACTCGGTTTTGTATATTGATTATTATAGATATAGTCGTGTGTGATATCGGTTGATAGCACACTTAGTCTGGGTTATTTAGTAAGCCTGTGTATAAGTATCAAATAATATCAGGATTTTCAATGTAATATCTGATATCGTTTCTCATCGACACGCCTACTATGACTCAGAAAACCCACCTAATACAATTCAATACACTTGTTAACAGTAGGTCGATAACCTCTCCAACAGATTCCATGTTTCAGTAGTGAAAGCATAGTCTATGTACAAAGTTAATTTTTAGGCTACATTTGATTCAACGCTATTCTTACCTAGTCTGAAGTACTCCGTGATGGCTGTGCCTTATACGGGACCATAAGAACGGTCGGGATTATGGTCGGAACCAGTAGATATTCCAATGTGCTCTCAGTGTGATGTTATCACCGTCAATACCGTAGACTAGTGTTAACAAAATTAAAGTATGTTCATATGAATCTGCCTGTAGAGAATGTCACAGGTGGCAAACATCCTGTCATGCTTCTATGAGCTCCGATCTGTTTTCTGGTGATAAACACGAACGTAACGCAAGCAGTCGATTCTATCCATTCGTTCTGTTAGATTTTTAGTTGAAGATTAAGAATTGTTGTATTGGATGATTCCGTTGAAATCCAGAGCATCACGAAATATTGATGTCGGTGTGCGCCGTTATTTCATGAGATTAAAACCGTACCTCCTATGCTATTGTTAAACTACGACATGATCTTACATCTACTGTGGATACCGTGGGACGACCACTGTAGTCAGAATATGTGATAAAGTAATAAACGGTGTCCACACTGTTTGTCGAAACCCTCCAAGTATGAGCGGACGTGTTACATCAATATAGCTTGGTGGTCCGTGTGTGGATAGCGTTAGTGTTGTCTGCCAGCAGAAACTATCCACTACATTGTAACCATACTGTCGATCTTCATATGATGATAAAATCTATTCCTTAATCCGAAATAACTGGTTAGTAGAATCACAGACATCATATAGACATTTCTAATAGTGTCTCCAGGGTCTCCAGCACAGTGCTGTATCGTCTGTTTGTGTGTTTTCGGCTACAGGCCTTTGCCATCCATCGGCGAGAACCGTATATCGTAATGCAAGCCGCCTGTAAGATTTCCGGCGATCAGGGTACGACATCCCCACTTGGTTTTAGAGAACACGCCAATATAATAACTGGGATGCAGTTTGTATGAGAATTTAAACAACACAAAGAAACTGTCATTACTTTTGTTGATGTTTTCTCTCATGTTTGTAGAACTGTACATTTATAAATACATTATTATATCTCATCTCGGCTATTCACAATGGTAGATTTTTCTCCGTAACCTAGACCATAAACGGTTATCGACCACGTTGTAATGTTGCATGATTGAAGTTCCCCGGTCGATGCCTTCTGTTTATGCTTGAATGATTTAGCAAAGCTTGTAAAACACATATATATATCGTGAGGCTGTATGCTAATGCCTCTATTACAATCTATCATTAATCTATGACTCCTTGTCGTATTTACGTTGTGGTAGCGTTATTATGAATAGCATGAACAAGCGCTTACTTTACGGTAAAGGTTAAAAAGGTCACCCATCATTACTATTCTTAGATGACCTTAGTCGGTGTTCTAATTACGATTTAGACAACAGTTTTATCAAACTACCAAAGGCGAGGTCATCACTCTTTTTTATTTTCTCTCATTCGATATTTTAATTTTCGCGGTTTTGACTCGAGTTCTAAGCAAAAGGGAATTTTTTTCAAGGAAAACATTTAGCGGAATGTGAATTACCATTAATACTTTTTTAAAGATTTGCTTTTTCGCGGTTTTTGTTTTTGTTTTTGTTGTTGTTCTTATAATTTCTTGTCCGAACAGTAATTTCTATTCTGCTAAAAATATCTTGACAAACCATGCAATATAATTGTACCACCTGAAGTCGATGTGCAGACGATGTACAGGCCTTTGTCATTGTCTCATTGCAACCTTGACTTCAAGGTCAAAGGTCACTAAGTGCGTATTTCCCAATAATTTGTTGTCCGGGTGATAGCTTTCAAACCGTTGAAATATCTTAATGAGTTGGTGTGTACCGTTATCAACCACTGACGTAGATACGCGACGAATATTGGACTCATTCGAGTATGCCATTTAATAATCTTCTTTTTTTCTTTAATCAACTTCTTCTCAACAACCAATGGACCAATTGTTCTGATATGGTCCTAGGAGGAAGCCTGACAAAGTTTGCAAAAAGAAATGATATTGACCTATGTTCAATGTCACAAGGGTTATAGAGGTCACATTTATATACCAGGTGAGCGCTGCAGACCAATTGGGTCTGTTGTTTTATTATTGTACTCCTACTAAAGCAGCAACATCATGCATTGCTGATAAAAGGAAACACATGTTTTCGTTAACGAAAACAAATATCTAGTTCCAACCTCGGGCTAGTGAAAAATCAAACACCTGACAATAACAACCTTTTGCATGTATACCAATGATTTTCAGTTGATAATTCGCATTGATGAATGCCACTCATCTACGATGCGTGGAACTGATCAAATTAAAGACATTACACAGAAATGCTTGGGGAGTGTTCTGCCACATACCTGATAATATACGACGAAATGCGTCCAAAATCGCTAGAGAGTTTGGCTCCTGGCACAGACGTCGCTCCATCTCAACCAAATATGCTCGACTGAATAACACTTTGGAGACACAACAGGTAAAGGTAGCACGATGACGTACTGCTGCTGAAGATTTGCCTCAACAAGTGCAATATGAGGTCATGCGTTGTGCTGCTGCAAAATGATGTTACAGTGGTATTACGTGGCCAAATATGATTTCATCACGGTAGCGCACACCTGTAAAGTGGCTTTCCACTAAAACAAATGGGTTCATCCATGTAATGTCACCCCAGACATAATGCTCCCCTCTTCAAACTAATGACGTGGAATTACGTCACTTCAACGTTCTCGTACACCCGAACGAGACCTTCACTGCTATCAAGTTGAAAAGCTGGATTCATACATGAATAGCACGTCCGACCTGACTCTGTCGGTGAATCGTGAATATCTGCTGTACCATGCTAAGCATGCAAATCGGACGGTGAAGCAAACCTAGACAAGGAACGGGATGTCGTGGGTGGACGTTTGCCCCTTGCAGTCCGTTTCGTGTGGTCCTAGAAAAGATCCATCCCAATTCTGGAATGCTTCTAGGAGTCAATAAAGAGGACAAATAGCCGCTTACGCAAATATGACGTCCTTTTGCTATTGTCGAGCAATTCCGTACCGTTTTCGCCTGCTTAAATGGCCTCCACAAAGCACTTATTTATTCCTATGCATTATTAACTGTCCTAGCACATTATTCTGGTACAGTGTCCTCGTCCATCGCTTTGGACCGTAAAATCATGGATACAGTGTCCTCGTCCATCGCTTTGGACCGTAAAATCATGGATACAGTGTCCTCGTCCATCGCTTTGGACCGTAAAATCATGGATACAGTGTCCTTATTAGGCTTTACAATTACTTATCTTATCAGACTGTAGAAAGCCTGATCTATTGTCTGCACTGTGCCGATTATAATGTCATTTGTTAGACTAAAGATCCCCAGTTATATAAACATATAAGGTTTCCAGAATACCAGAAAAAGGTATTTAACTTTTTTTACAGTTAGACACGACTTCGGAAAAACATTTAAAACTAAAATACGCACATGGAACTGACATCTAGACAGGAAACCAAAGTTGTTAGGTTAGCCTCGACCTATCTATGACTATTCAAATGTGAGGAAATCGCAAGTAGATAACAACATAATTTTACAATTCTGGACAATACTACCTCATACTTCATAATCGACTCAGCTCAGTAGATCGTCTTCATACTTTACTGATCGTTACCTCTAAAACATTTAACCCATGTATCACGGTATCCGTCCGTGGATCATGAAGAAACTTTGTATCAATGGTCAGCATAACTCATATCCAGGCCTGATTCAATTGATCAACAAAGCAAAATAATCGCAGATGTCCATTTTAAACATGATAATCATCATATTCATACATGTTGTTTCCGCTTTAAAGCATAAAAACAAATCTGTGAAATATTAAATACAATTTGGTATAGATTAGCTATGCAATCCCTGCACTGTGTAGCTGTGTTTATTCACAAAGAGATCAACGAATACATACATTTCTCGACATTCCAAGTTCGATTAAAAATACCAACGGTTATGATGTCACCTGCTAACAATATCATATTTTTTATTACCAGACTTCTTGCAGTTATTGTCACGATGCAAACTAAACATATAAAGTTTCATTTTTGTTTGTTTTAGGAAACTTGAAGGATCTGGTGCCGCGTCATCAAAATATCAAGGAACCAAGTTCCAGTGGTGTTCATCGCAATATTTCTGAGCAGGACCTCAATACCAAATCAGAGAGACACTTGAACATTCAGGTAAGAAATTGACCACGTTATGCTGACGTCATTGGTAACAGTTACGGTATTTACAAAATATATTGAACTAGTTAGCTGTATGATGTTAAGGTCTTTATTTCACTTTGTCTAATTCTAAATTTGTTTTCAAAAGTACTATTCACTTGTATATCATGTACAATCTTGATTTAGACTGTCACACAAATGTTTGTTACAATCCATTTTCTATACTTTGCTTTTGCCGTGAGATGTGTTGTCTCTGTGATTTTGTCTTTTGAGATGTTGCTTCAGGGCGTTCAATTAATTCATCGTTACAACAATTGCTTCTCTCCGCTGTCTGATTTCGTAGTTAGATTTTTTCATTCTCCTATTCTGCAGTTGGATTGTTGTTTCATTCCACTCCCTTATTGTGTAGTTAGAAATTGTTTCTCTCTGATTATATCGTTACAAGTGCCTTTTATCTGTACTCTCTTATTTTAGTGTTAAAACAACTGGTTTTCTCCACACACTGATATCTGTTGTTATTGCAGTTGATGAAAACGGACGAAGAAATTAAAAATGTGAAAAAGGAATTAGAGAGGTTGAAAGAATCTTTAGCGAGAAACGAATTAAGGTAGGTTTACATGACACGTCTGTGCCTTTTTGTTAAGTAAAACAGTATTGGATCCTTACAGTTATGTAACTTACGAATATGGTAACGATAATCTGTGACAAGACACTTATGCTGTCATTCTCCACCTCGATCGATTTGGGTTTCTTTCTGTAAGTTAAAATCTTAAATGAAGAAATCGTACTCTTATTGCATACAAATTTGTATTGTAAATGCTTATAAGGAAGTGTTGTTAACCCGTGTTATAATGGGTATGTTTTGTCGTCCACGTTTTGCTCTAATGTACACTTTTATCATTTTCTCGAACATAAGCATCATTACAAAACATGTACATATAGGAATATATCAAAATATCTTCTTTGTGTCCACTGTTGCATGCCAAATGCTGCTGTAATTGTTCGAAATTAGTGTGTTGCAAGTTTTACATGACAATCACAACAGAAGTATGTTAGTAGTTTTTTTTTTTGTGATTTCAGCCATTCCTCGTTTAAATCAGGTATTTTAACAGTATTTAAGACGAAATATATGTGTTAATTGTTGCCGTCGATCTTATTTTAAACAGAGACAAGAATGTGGCAAGTAGGATTCGTCAGAAAATCGCGACGACGGAAGCCTACCTGCAGCGTTTGATGACGTCAGGCAACGCAATCCAGCAACACAAACAGAAACGCAATAACCATAAAAAACTCACAGTCTTTTAACAGAAATTCCTCTCTAAAAAAAGTTAGTAATACTTACAAAAGTCAAACATTTGGGGATAGATTAAATAAACGATACAATAATTGCCAATAGAAGGGCTTTTTCAAACGGTTAAACAGATCAGTACAAAGTTGTATTATGCAATATTGATCTTAGTACCATCGCCGTTCTGCTGTATTTGTATGTAACATTATAAACGAGGCTACTTAACTGGTGTTTCTGAAGTGTTGTCCTCATTATAGATCAAATTCACCTATTTACTTCCTAGTTTGCACATTCATGTTAACCATTCCAGTTTACATGTGTATTACATGGTGAGCCAGTATTTCGGATATATATCGACAGCCATTATCAAAGGCGGACATTAAGAAGCAGCAGTATTGTCCAAATTGTGGTATATTGGTTTCTACAATTTTATTTGCCATTTTCCGTAACTCTAAAAGACATGCCAAGTGTTAATGTTAATATATTTTATTTCATGATTTTTCACACATAAGTGTAAAACAGATATATATTTTTGACTTGTCTTAATAAGACCAGATAGTGGAAAATGTGATCTCAATATTTAAGACATTCACTCTAGCATGTATGGATGGATATTGATATGTCAGTTGTTGCAATTTATGAAATTGTGTAAATAAAATTAACTTAATATATTCATGTCTTTCTGGTCTCTGTAAACCACATACATGTTGAACATGGCGGCTAAGTCACGTGCACTTTTACATATACGTATGATATTTAGCGAATGATGGTAAAGGTACATGTATCGCCCCTAAGGAGTTCAAATAATGCGGTAAAGAGAAAGAACATTTTCAAGATGGCAGAAACCCTGTCTCAAGAAGTACCATGTTACTCAAATAGAAACCGTCGGACATCGCTCCATTTTCTTGGTACATCTTCGAATCCATTAAAGTTCCTGGTGAAATGATAATTGGTTAACGACGACAGAATGATATTGACAGGGCATAACATGGACATTTTTTTCTGAACCAGCGTTTTCTGTTGCTGTCAAATTAGCCATCAACACGGGACAGAATTCCGTAGGTCAAATATGTTCAAATCTTCACACGATTTCTCAAAAACCGCAAGACCCAGTTACTGATTGGACCTGTAGCATGCATGGATGAATGGTTACTACGTTCAAGTGAATGACATTGACCCTCTTTCCAGGTCACAGGGAAGAAGTATGTCAAAATCTTCAAACGAATCTTTCTCGTTAACCAAACCACCAAGTGCGTTGATATTGGACCTGCAACATGCTGCGATGGAGGGGCTATAATGTTTATTCAAATGAATGATCTCAAGTCTTTTCCAATATCTTAGGGGTTAAATATTTTAAAGTTTTCAAACAATTTCTTCTCAGTAACCAAAACTCTGTAGGTATTGATATTGAGCGTGTAGCAAGCCGGAATGAAGGGCTCCCAGGATTACTCAAAAGAATGATAATGGGTTTTTTCAAAGTTTTAAAATCATTAAATGCAATCTTTTAAATAACGAGACACCCATCATTATAATGTAAGGCAAGTAACATGCTGGGATGAATTAATACAATATTTGTTCAAATAAATAACCTTGATCCATTTCCAACATCACAGTGGTCAAAGATTTTAAAGCATTAAATGACTTCTCAGTAACAAAAATGTCATTTCAAATGAACGACTTTGACTCAATTTTAGAGACAGTAATAATGTTTTAATGAAAGGTTAACCAAGTTTGTCCCAATGGATGAGTTTTGCCAACTTCCAGGTTACAGAGATCAAATGTGTTAAGAACATCAAGCTCCTGTTTTACCATTATCAACAGTATTCTCATTTTTATGGGCTAGACTTCCTTTAAAACTACAGATGTTGTTATTTTTCAGGTTGTTCTGAAATTCAAGATGGTCGCCATCTTGAAAAACATATTCTAAACTTTTTCTGTAGTCCCACTGGTGCCAAGGACTTAAAAAATGGTGGAAATGTTAAGGAAGGTAGCTTAAGGTAGTGTTGTTATTTGTCGATCTTGCCAAAACTTTGACATGGCAGCCAGAGAGGCCATTTAGTTTACATGATTGCGCTATCGTGGTTTACCTGTGCAACACCTATTTCAAACTTCTTCTCAAGTTTCATCAGTTGGATTGTGCTCCAACTTTACTGTTAACACTTGTAACAGTTACCTACTCCTCACCAAACTTAGCTTTGAGGTGGCCAGGGGTATAGAACAGTCTGCCTAACGAGCTCAGGACGTTTCATTCTTTTCCGGTTTGACTCATATTTGCAATTACTACCTGTATTCAAATTTCTAAGTTTTAAGTTTCTTTTTCCATCATTCATTATTTTTTTATTGTTCTGACATCTTGTAAAATAAAATATATAAAGGACATTAATTAATTATTTTTCTAACACAAAAGTAAATAGCATGCTTACTGCTAAAAACATTTTATCAATAATTTGATAAATGTATTTATATCTTTTATCTTTATTTCATGTCTCTTTTTAACGTCGACTGAAATGGCAGTTACCTCCCTTCTATTTCTACCAGGTGGCGCTTCACCGGAAGTTAGAGGTTGATTATTGTCACTATGGTGATAATGTACATGGCTTCCTGTACGGTATAATATTTTCTATAAACAATCAATCTAACAACAGGAGGACTTTTAACGTCATAGTCAGACATGGCCGCGGATACAATGTCTCAGAACCCCTACGCTTACACAGCGACTGGAGAACTTGGAGCAAACAGAGAGACGATGTTAAACAATGAATTGTTGTTGAGAGTAAGTTGAAATGATTTTATTTAACACTTCCAATGACTGTAGAATCGGCCATGCTTAAATGCTTTCATACTTGCTTTACGTTAAATACAATGTGATTTAAACTCCATGTGCTCGTCTCTGATTTCGCATTCATATTATAATGTTCAATCATTTGAATGAAGAATGGTTTTAGGAACTACGTAACCAATTGAATCTTGATGTTACTGTATTGTCCGAGATTTCCATGTCCCTTACGCCAGAGCTGCAGACATTTTGACGAACATACGTCCATACCCAGACATATTTCTGTCATAACCTCTAACATCTGGTTTGCATAGTAGCCTGAAGAAAATTCAATTTAACTTGTTATAAATGTACTTCCATTCTGATTAAGAAAAATACAATGGTGTTTTTTTTTTACAGAGAAAACATACACATGTACACAGTATCCGTTTTTTTTTCACTAAAAATTATTTCAAAATCATGTACATGAAGGTTATCATTACGAAAAAGTTTTCTCGATTGATTGGAAAAGATTTCCGTATACATGTCTTCAGCTCTGTTGTTCAAGTAAATTAATACTATTACAAGTGAATTAAGTAGCCAGCAGGGTCTCCTTGTAGCTGCAGTACTGCCTAGTGACATTTTTATTGACTCAACATTTGGAAGGCTCACAAAATGCATTCTCAGCCCCTGTCATCTGTCATAGGTCAGAAAGGCTGCATGAAAATCAAAGTATATTGTATAATGTGTCTATCTTAGACTCAATGACACAACCATAGCAACAAATTTCCCTGAGTAGAGAACACTGAAGATCTACACCTAAGGTTGCAAAATCTTTTCTCGATTGCTCTCCAACACGAGATTCCATTCCTCTTTTTAAATTTAAGAAATTTTTTGGTAAAATCTTTTACTTTCATAACCATTCACTTTTACAGACACGACTAGGAAGACCCAAAAGGCGAGGATACAGCTCAGCACCAACAGAAAATTTTGTATATGGTCGTCCCCTAGAACCACGTCAAGGAGGTGCTGAGGATGGTAAATAGTACTTCCCATTTTAACATGTTAGGGTTCGTTAAGTCATATCAAAGTCAGCGTTAGGTAGCAGTAAACAGTTAATTTGCATTTTTCCTGAAATTATTTGTCATGTTTGAGATATACAGGTATAGCAGATTGGTTATGAAAAATACATCATTACATGTATATATATTTATAAACTGTATAACAATTACATTAACAGTAGAGAGATGAAATTTGTGTAAAAAAAAAAATTCCTCTGATTTCTGACATTTGATTGTCATGGTTACCTACTGAAAAAATGCTAAAAATGCAAAAATACTGCTAATTCCAATCCAACACTACAACTTTCTAGGAGAAATTTAATTCTAATCACCTATCTTACAATCAACAACACTGTCGTGGTAACAAAGTACTTACATTTCAGCAAATTCCAACTCGGAAATTCTTCATAACATGACCACATGTAAACACTATGAAAATTTCACTTCCTGTAAAGCTAGTTTTTGGTGCGTAGACACAGATTCGAGACTGCCCAAATAGTAATCTCCAACACAAAGCTAAAATATTATCCTGAAAAAAATGAAACCCCACATTGTCCACTTTAACATGACAGGACCAATTTTAGCAAGGATTTTTTTTTTCATTTTTAATTAAAACCTTTATAATGGGGTAATCTAATGAGCAAAAAAATCACCCATGGCCACACCGAGAAACTGTGTACTGCTACCTTAGGTCCCACCATGTTGATAGATAATTATTTATAAAAACAACAAACAAACATGAGTTGTTCTGTGTTTGCAAAATGGGTTTCTTTAAAGTCTGTCTATGGGCTTCTGAACTGGTTATGAAATTCTATATCTCTTAATACTGATACACATACTTATATTGCATTTAAAGTAGAAGTTCATCTAGGTGTTACACCAAAGTGGATTTATATTGTCAAGTACGCAACACGAAATAGTGTTGAAAAATTACAGATTTTCATATAGTGTTCCATGTGCTTGGGCCCTGTTACTGACATTTCCATCAAAATGTTTAAGGTTGGCTGTTAGTGACCAACAGAAATTGATGATCTTTGAGATGTAAAGAGAAATGGTAGCAAATTCTTTCTAAGTGACATTGATTTGTTTTCCACCCAAATAATGTTAAAACATCAACTTTGAAATGCATAATGAATGTTCGGGTAGAATTACATTGATGGTGAGAATTACAGGATCTTGGCATTAATTTCCTACCCATGATCCATATATATCTATATGATCAATGAAGTATCAGCAACAGTACACGCAAGTGAATTGTCAAATTTTCGAGGCAACCTGCCCCTGTACCAATATTGGACTATACCAGTCGATATTACTTACTAGATTCTATATGTATATATATATATATGTATATATGTGTGTGTGTATTAAAGTAACTATAATACACATAATGTATGTATGGCCTGTGGGTTGGGAATTAAGTTGTGCCAATTAGTCCCAGTGGTCAGAATGACTCTTAATGTAAACACCTCAATTTTAGTTATAATCTACAGCTTATTCAATATTGATCATCATTTAGCCACTGTGTTTAACATCATTCACGTGAGTTCTAAACTTGTTTGTAGTCTGTTATTTTCATGATATATACATATACTCCACTGACAGTATAAATATAATATATATATATATATATATATATATACTTGTATATGATATTCAATGGGAGACCTTGAGTTAATCTCTATATACGAGTATGTTTGAAACAGACACCTATTGATGAAAACTTTACAGATCAATAAAGATATTCTTAGTTAAAACATCTTAGGTACACATGTAACCAAAGATTAATACAGCTGATAGCCTCATCAAAGTAAACTTTTACCAAGTGGAATGTTGATGAACTGTAAAAAAAAGCATGTTCATATGTGTACATGAAATGTAATGAAAGAAATACAAAAGGTGGTGACCTTGTTTGATTTTATAATAAAATGCTTCAATGAGAGTAGTCTTAATGTTACTGCAATTTAGGTCAACATCATAAATTCTGCTGATAGTGTTATAATATTTACTTTGCTCAAGGTTTGAAATATATGATGTTGAACCAAAGGTTGTTATCAAATTTCATAAGAACATTGTAAATAAACTTCTATGTATGCGTCTAATGGACCTGCTCTGGTGTTAGTAAGATCTATTATCATTTAAGTTCGTATTGATAATTACATGTAGGTCAGCCCTGCGACTCAACACCACTCTGACCACTTAGAGACCTGTGATAATTGTTCTTTCTTGGACGATTAAATGATGTGAATTTATCTGTTCTGAGATTCTCTTTAAATTCATCCTAACCATATTGCACGATTAGCTCAAGCTAAGGGGTAAACATGATATATCTCTGACTTTTAGTCTATGAATAAACCTGATTAATAATCCTACTGAACAGAAATAGATGTGCTTAATTACCAAGCATGGGCTTATCAGATAAACAAAGTAATATACTGGTATGTAGTTGATGTGATATAAGATTAGAGGCGTCATTATTTGTTTTGTTATTGTGTGATGCCAAAGTGTTTCTTAAATGTAAATCACATGTCCCATATTATATTGTATTTGACATTTGACTTTCATTTCTGTTGCAGCTCTTCATGGATGGCCAGCAATGAAACCTAACATAGCATCAACAACACTCCCTTTCTCTCGTAAGGAAAAGAAAACTGATAGAGATTTCATGGTATTAAACAAAGCTGCAGTGCAGGCTGGTCTTGTAACAGCTTCAGAAAATTACAAATTTAGAGCAACTCATGATGTGAGGAGGAAAACAGCTGGGGATGAAAACACACACAGCCGTACAAGAAGGATACCACCCACTATGGTGTTTGGTATCTCTACAAGGTAAAATATATGTACTGACAGCAAGCCATTACTCATAAACAGAAAACATGCTACTGTTGATTTAAACAAATCATGGATATTAGTACCCCATGTATTGAAAACATTTGGTGATATATCTCAACAAGGTTACGACTGTTTCATCAAGTTACTACTTGTATTTTTTTGTTTTTAATCATTCTGAAAAGTTTGTGATAAACACATACATCATTCAGGAATCCTTTCTTTTCAGGCCTTCCACACCAATTTTTGACCTCCTAGAACACAAATACCAAGATAAATGGTTGATGTCACGCCGTCAGATGGAGCTCACCAAGAGACAAGAAGAATCCAAGGTAATTTTACAAATATACCCATTAACATAATTTTTTTGACTGAATTCACAATTTTTAAAAATTATCCCAAGATTCCTCAAGAAACGAAATACCACAATATGTATTTTCACTATCAAATTAGGATTTTTTTGTTTTGGTTGGTTGTTGAGAGAGTTCCTGAGTGACTGGCTCAGCTTAAGTAATGACGCTAATATTATTTTGTCATAAAGTTATCTATATAGATTATATCAAATGAGATATTGTTCCTATAATGTCCAGTCTGTAGAAATTACTTGTGACTATGTATCCTCAGCCCTCTATTCTTCAAATGAAAGTTTTGATTTATTTATTTACTTAATAACTGACAGAAATAATCTGCATTTTTCATACCAAGTTGTATATATATATATATAGCTTGAATTTTTTTTATTAGTTCCTACTTTTTAAGTTTTATATAAGATGTATAAGGAATTATGTACAGATGTATGTAAAAATGTCTTCCTTTTAATACCAAGCAAGTTCAATAGATATTAGGAGTCTCTTATATGTGCCACAATACCACAATAGTTACAAGTGTATCTTCACAGACTAACTGCTCAATAGAATAATTTTTATTATCTCTCTCTTTTGAATGGAGGCACAGTTTTGATATACAGAGAATATTTTGTCCTATTTAGAGTGCGCCCATTATACCTAGATCAGCAGGATTTTCCAGTACAGTGAGTTGGATTAAGTTGTACACTGTATTTGAGGTGCCATTGCTGCATTCCCACCACACTTTGTACTCAGAAATCATAAATTGAAAACATCAAAACATTATTATGGATATTTGTCAAAGTTGTTTAACCTTTTCTAAAATTTTGTTCAAGAAATGATAAAATCAAACTTTACATAAAAGTTGCATTTGAAATTTATGGAAAACTATTTTAGAAACCAAATCTTCTGATTTATGGAACATATGTACAGCCTGCATGTTTTGTAACTCTCAATGTATTGATACACATGCATGTTGTGGGTATGGTTGGTGTACCATTTTGTGGTGAGAGTACGAAGGTGCAACATCTCTGTACAATGTATTATCTCGATGCACCTAATACTTCAACCTGCTCACACTATCCTTATTTTGGTTTTGCAATTTACCGAGTTCAAATGTAGTGCCTTATTTTGATTTGGAGATCTTGGTAACGGATATACCATCTGCAAGTTATTTCAACGACTTTTTAAGAATTATATGACAGTAGTTTCTCAATAGGAATGACAGAGTGTGTTCTATCATTTCTTAACTACAGAGAAATCTTATTTTTTTTCTCCACTCTTTTGTTCTCTAAAAATACTTAAACTGGTTATTTCGACATGGCTTCACCAAGTCTGCCTTTCCTATCTGTACCTATTAATAGTAACAACAATATAACAGTACTTAAGGGTGAGAAGACATATTAAGTGCTTTATCATGGGATACATAATGTATGATCTCCGTAGTAGACTCTGTACATGAAATCCCAAAATAACTCAATTAATTTGTGCCCCCTAATATTCCAAACTCAGGCAACCAGGATCATTAAAAATGGTTAAATATACTATTCCATCGTTTAACCAAGAAGGTAATCGCATTAGTACCAGATAATTACTTAATGCATGTGATAAACATATAACATTACTGCATTAATCCAGTGAGGTTTTGTCATTACATCTCATATGTGTATAAAATGCAATTTATTATTAATTTTGATTATTTATTTTTATTTATTTATTTATTTTTTTTTTTTTTTTGATATTTTGCAACTTAAGTCTTCCATTATCTGTTACATTGAATTCAGAAGGAAGCATTTCTTTCACGGTTTGGTTTCTTCACTTGTGTTGTTATAGCAGCATACTTTGTCTGGTACATTGTCATCCGTCAGGATACATTCCCAAATTATTGATCAAAGAATAAAACCAATTAAGGTCCTTCAGATCTTTTAATTTCATGAGAGTTATACAAACAATATCCAAAATTCTACTCCTGATATAGGATCTTTACAAAACAGCAAAATGAAAAAAAGGATTATTTAAACAGAATAGTTTTAAAAGTGTGCATCATTTCATTGTCAGAGCCTTGTGGACGATTTTTTATGCTTTAAATGAAAGAACATCCATATGATATGGCAATAAGCCTGTTTTAGCCAACTAAGTACAATTGATAACTTAACAAAATGTCCATATATCGCTTTTTCCTATCCTTTTTTGTTCATTTCATTTATTTTCTTTGTGTAAACCAATGAAGAAAAGGGAACATTTCAAGATGTTGAAGGTAAACATTGTACTGTTATATGACTAGTGTAGTGACATATCTAAGCATGGTTATTGAATGTGCATGTACAGCTAATAACCAGGAAATCAGATATCATCAAATTTTGTCAAATATGATTATGACAATATGACAAGAAGAGCTATACTAGTGTGATTCACAATATCATGAGAGCTTTTGATTCTGCCCATATTACATTACATGCTGTAGTTGCTGTCGTAGCTTGCTGCTCCCCGTATAAACTAGGTAATTACATTAAATAGGCTTACACAATGTATTTTTCATGATTACTGAAACTTTATATCAAAGATTGTATAAAATACAAATTTATCCAGTAAGGTACATGTAAGGATATGTTTGGTATCAAATAAAACATCATACAGTTATCATTAATTGCAAACAGATTAAATAAAAAAGAATTCATGTCAAAAGCATTTATGATTAAATTACTTTTTTCTCTTTAAAATTGATATTATCTATTGCTTAATATCAAACTTGTGAAACACGAGTGTATTTTTTGTAGGATGATTTCTCTACAGGTAAAAACGGAATAATCACAACAAAGCTACCATTTTAACACCAGTAATTGGTGATGAGACTGACTTTTTACCCTTACTCTGTTTTGTCAATACTATTAACTAAAAAAAATATAATTAAATTTCTGTCTGATACCCTAATTATTGATGATATTTACTACAAAAGAAACATGTCTCATGATAGTTTTTCATATTTTGTGCAAGTTTAACTGGTCATTAATCATCAGGTTTCTCTGCTACGTGATTCTTTGATGGGCAGTGATTGGACTTTGTTAGCTAAGCTGTGTAGGCTGAAACCTTGCAAAAGAGTTCAAAAATTGTTATGTCCGTAAAGTGGAAACACAAAACAGATTGTGTCTTATCAGTTACGCGTTTTAATCTTTACATTATTAACGCTGTAGTTAGATTTTGTATTCATTAAGAAATAAATTAAGAATCTGATGTTTTGAAATTGAAACAACCTAGGGCAAACTGATAACACCGGCAATCATTAAAATTGAGTAGTAGTTTTAATAAGCACATGATATAGACATGCCAGCTGTTATTAGTGTATTTCATTAGTATATTTCAGTATTGTAAATATTCTAAATTTTTGCATGGTAATACTGTCAAATCACATTTTAATATATAAATATTATCCATACGTGATGTCATATGTATGCATGGATAAATATGTAGCTCTATTGAACAAAGTTTGTCACGAGAAACATTAACATATAAAACATTAACCTTATCACCTCTTTATGCATGTTGGAATATGTTTGTAGAATATTTGTTTATCTTTAGCCTTTTAAACATCTTCATATGACGGGTGTGTAGAGGGGGGAGAGGGGCTGCAAGTCCAAATATATACAATTACTGCATTCGACAAAATACAAATGTGGACCCTTTGTTATATTATCTGTTCAGTCTGTTCTTTGAATTGTTAATCATTTAAATAATTGAGAAATATTTACTCTGTCTTTATAGTATTGTAAACTTCAAAAGAAAAAAGTATGGTTTAAAAAAACAAAATGTCTGTTTTTCCAAAAACAATTCTTCTGCAAATGGAAATATCCTTAATCAATCCATACCAATGTTGACATGGCATTGATTTAATTATAACAGAATGCATGCACCAATCCATACTTTTGTCAACATAATATTAAATTATAATAGAACGCATGTGCAGAGGAGTAAATATATATAGTAATCAGTTGATATCCGAGTTGTTCTACCAGATTGAAGCATAGATTGATGGAATCACGCGAACTTGCTAGTTACTTTCTTCTTTTTATCAATGCATTGTGTATAAGTCTGTGCATATTGAATGCCATAATTGTAATTGTTGTACAATACAGTATGAATTAATATATCCTATTATCCCTGTCTATAATACTTATTGATATATAATGCTTTCAACCATTCCTTCTACCCAACAGCTTGACTTTGAACTCCTCTATCTATAATATGTGTACACAGAAATAACTAAATCTTAGTTTTTATTCCCATGCTTTCCACCAATGAAGCTGAAGGTAACTACCACTGTATATTAGTGTAGAGTAAATGTAATGATGTAGAATATGTATGATAGGGTACATGTTAATTACATGTAAGTATACTATATATTGTAAAGTAAGTAGATTTGTAGATTTCTTTAGAATACATATACTATTATAGAATAAGCTTACTGTTGCGTATTTATTCTATTTATAGATATATATATTTGGAAAGAATAAAATCAACACGATAAGAGTATTCCGCTAACATTTTCAGGCCTAACGGCCATCTTCAGGTGATACATTTATAATAATGTCATGGTAACGACATTATGACGTCGTATATACTACATAAGACAAAAGTAGGCCTGAAAATGTTAACGGAATACATATGTCGTGTTGATTTTATTCTTTTCAAATACTTTATTGATACACATAGAATATTTAAATTACATCTTTATATATATATATATATACACACACATATATATTATGTATATAAATGAGTCTGCTACATCACTTTTGCTAGAATTTTAATGTTCAGTGTTATTTTTTTCACTATAATCAGTGTTACAGTGTTATGTGAAAACCTAGTTGATCTATTCTTTGATGTGATACTCAAGAAAATATAAGTCACAATAAATGTAGTCCGTTGATTGATTAAGTATTCAGCTTTGAAAATATTATCTTTGCAAATATACTTCTGTTGATAATAAAATGCATTATATATGTAGTTTATATAGAACAGCTTATAATTGCATACATCACACAACTAAGTATAATATTTGTATAAGGTGTTTACTTAGCAGCTAAATTGATATTAGTTTTAAGCTACTCAAACAGTCAATTCATATTGAAAGTAATTTAACTGGTATCGATTTGTGTTCACAACACCTAGATGATAATGACGTTTGATTTAAATGCAGTATATTTTTGTGGTCAACACAATTACATTTACGGTTGGACGCAACTACTTTGGGAACGTAAAGTTCAAGTTAGCAGTTGACTACACTGGTCTGTTTACAATTTACTGAAATTTCTGAAGTCTTTCACCCAGATTTATCTCTGTTTCCTGTTTGAACAATTTTTCACTGTTTGATGTGTGAATTTGTTTTAGGGGGGGTGGGGGGGGGGGGCCGTGGTAAATATCAAATAAAATGCCATGACCTGCCTATACTTTTTACTGTTTCCAATTGAAAATTAGAGGTCCACTAACTCATGAATATTGATCATATATAATTTCTACTAGCCCTATTACCTATCTTTGTTATCAACCTCTACATGGTTTGCTTGAGTAGCACATGTACCTCTTCTGCCACTTGAACTGATACATTATAGCTCCAATAGATTTGATAATCCTCCATTACAATATTGATATGTGATGTGGACAGGCGATGAATGATATATACTGTATATTCAATTTTTTTTTTTTTTTGTAGTTAGATTTGTAATTTCTCTGATTAGGCTGAAATCTGGTAATCAAATGATTGAACTATGTGTTATTAATTCATTAATAATACTGTCAACAAATTGTAGATTTTTATTTTTACATTGATATCAAATCAAATAAACTGCTATGCAATTAAACTCGCGTAAGAGAAACTCCATAAAACTCATTTTCTTGTCATTTTTCATTTACTAGCTCTGCTTATTGTTTAAACATTATCTTTACTTTAACATTGATAATATTAAAAAAAAATGATTGAATTATCAAGATATCTAAATACCATTTAATTGGACATGATACAAGGCACAATACATCATACAAAAGGAAAAGCTGCAAGGAGCTTTCTTATCAAGATATCTGAAACTTGGTATTCATATCAAATGGCAAATGAGTCATTTAGTTTGTCCTTTTTCATCGAGTATAGTGATGTACCATCAGTTCGGCAACTGATTTTGTATTTTTTTAACAGCAACGAAGAAACCCTAATACAGTCTACGAGACCCGAGCATCACTGCTGAGGACGTACCAGAATCCAGTTGACCAAGCCCCACTTTGGCAGTTACCTAAGTTCAAGAAAAACGTAAGTGTTTTTAATATTGAAAGTAACCAGAATGAAAAAGGAGAAAAATTGTGATGGCTTGATTATGATGCATCACTGTTACTTGTCATTTACAGTTTGTAGAATATTTTTATTGCAGTTCCATTATATTAATTTTGGAACTAACAACAAAGTTCGTGACATATGGGTATTAAGTCAATGCAGAAAATCTGTATGTTTTGATAATTGTTGACATTGTTTTTTCTTACAGGCCAAGGCATCTCTACAAACATTCCGTTCAGAAGGTGCAAGAAAAGAAGGATATGAACATTTTGAATCTGACCAAATATCTAGAAAAGGCAAACTTGGTCATGGAGTCTATGAATCTGCAAAGAACTGATGTTTATTCACAAGCCTTATCTTCCCTCAGATATTTGGAATTAAAACTTTTGTGAAATGTATGTACATTAAGTGATTTATTACAGCACACATTTATTAAGCCATGAAAACAAGGATTATCAACAGCACAAAAGGATAAATGGTTATAACTGTATAAAAAGTCCTTGGATACAATTTCAGTATTTTACACATTTCTTTGAAATGTGGAGAAAGCAATGTTAAAAACCTGCGATATACTGTGAAATACCTCCTGTTTGATATGATGGAGTAACGCTTTACTTCTTATTTTTTTTTTTTAATTTTCATCTTTGTTTGTTTTGCTTGCTTATCCATGCAAGAAATGGTTACAAATATGTAGAGAATTTGCTCTTCACCCAATGTGATAAAGTTTATCACTAGACATGTCAAATGTTTATCATGAGCACACTTAGACTTATTTATCATTTGGACTGAAACGTCCGATAAGTTGCTATGTCACTTAGTAACTTAAATGCTTGTTTGTATAGGGAATTATACATTTTTCAATACTGAAGAATGCGACATAGGTTCATTGAATTGAAGTTTAGGTGATGTAATGTTAAAGTAGTATGTATTCTTACCAAAGTTAAATAAGTGCTAGTCGATTTTTTTTTTTTTTTTTAATTAAAAATGCAAAGTTAATAATTAAGTTATGATTTACATATGGATCAAATTTCTTCAATCTTTTGTCTGGATCTTCTTAGTAGCTTATAGAATAATGGTGATGATTAGTCATAAACAAAAAAAACTCAGTATTTTGATTATCAAAAATGTTTAATGGAAGGTTGAACTTTAAAATGTCATCTTTTTCTTCAGTGTCTATTATGGTGTGTGGTTGCGTGGAATCATTTTTGAAAATCATTAAGGAATCACTTATATTTATTTTTTTTTTTTTCATTTTCAAGTACGAGACTGTTTCTGTGAATTCTTTAACAAACCATAAAATTTAGGCCTCTTGAATGAAAATTATTGAAGAAACATGCATATTTACTTGTATATCAGACAAAGACTCTTAAAAAATAAGAAAATGGCAAATTTGTTTAATTGTAACAGGAAGATTTTTAGAAACAATTTCATATTTTATGTAGCTTAATAAATACTGAACAAGAATCTCTATAGATACTAGATTTTCTGTAACTTGTGTTGCCTAGAATTGTTGCTTAGACGTTTTGTTTACGTCCGTTCTTCAGTCAGCTTGTTGTTTGCACATGTCTGTGATATATTTGCACAGTGCCGATGTGCATATTTTTATCCACCGTTAAAAGGCATTTGTTTATATATAACTATTTGTACAGTATTTATCATATTTGAGTGAAGTAATAAAACGAAATCATGTTTTAAAACCAGCGTTCCTTTGTGTGTTTGAGTAGAAAAAATTGTATTCACACAAGGTTTGGTGGCCTTGATGGTCACCTTGGCTAAAAATGATCAAAACAGACAATTGAAACTGACCTCAATTAAAGCTATTGTAAAAAAAATACCCTCTCCTCATGGCTCTTTGGTAATAAATTTGACCATTTTGGTAAAGCACTAGAAGACCCTCCATCCATGAAGAGTTTTGCAATCTACCATATCAGACTGTTGAGAAGATTTGTTTTGAAAATTCAATCAGTTTGACCCTTTTTGCCTCACCATCAGCCCCTAACTGGCGATGTGGCATATATCTGGCACTAGGTACAGTACCAGTTACCTGGCATTTATTTACAGTAAGTTACTCAACATTTAGTAACTGTATCAATTACTTAACATTATAGTATCAGTTTCCTGACCACTAGTTACAGTAACAGTTACTCGACATTTAGTTACAGTACGTTAACTGACCACTAGTTACAGTAACAGTTACTCGACATTTAGTTACAGTATGTTACCTGATCACTAGTTACAGTAACAGTTACTCAACATTTAGTTAAGTTTGTTACCTGACCACTAGTTACAGTAACAGTTACTCGACATTTAGTTACAGTATGTTACCTGACCACTAGTTACAGTAACAGTTACTCGACATTTAGTTACAGTATGTTACCTGACCATTAGTTACAGTAACAGTTACTCGACATTTAGTTAAGTTTGTTACCTGACCACTAGTTACAGTAACAGTTACTCGACATTTAGTTACAGTATGTTACCTGACCATTAGTTACAGTAAAGTTACTCGACATTTAGTTAAGTTTGTTACCTGACCACTAGTTACAGTAACAGTTACTCGACATTTAGTTACAGTATGTTACCTGACCACTAGTTACAGTAACAGTTACTCGACATTTAGTTAAGTATGTTACCTGACCACTAGTTACAGTAACAGTTACTCGACATTTAGTTACAGTATGTTACCTGACCACTAGTTACAGTAACAGTTACTCAACATTTAGTTACAGTATGTTACCTGACCACTAGTTACAGTAACAGTTACTCGACATTTAGTTACAGTATGTTACCTGACCACTAGTTACAGTAACAGTTACTCAACATTTAGTTACAGTATGTTACCTGACCACTAGTTACAGTATGTTACCTAACCATTAGTTATAGTATCGGCTACCTGACTGTACCTTGTCATTAAAATATTAGTTACCCGATTTTATGTTACCAGACAATCAGTTTATGTAAGTGTTTTCTGATCATGTAATTTGTCAATCAAAGAAATAAAAAGTCAAATTTGAATTTAACATGAAATTGTCTTTCTGTTGGATAGTCTTAAACATTTTCATGCAGGGTTTTCGATAAAATTGACAATGTGCTGTGTGTTTAAATAACGAGATTTTTGTTGACTATGAACACATCTCAAAAACTTGAAATAAAACATCGCCTTATCCCTTACATACAATGAAATCTGAATATACAACTTTCCACTAAGTTGTATCATAAGCATAACGATTGAAATTTCCTACTTGTGAATTTTCCATTCCAATATCTTTCCCAACCTATAGTGTTAATGTTGTATTTGCATTGACAATGTTTCTCGAAACATCAGGATTTTTGCAATATTTACGTCAATAGCTGACAACACAGGATCATAGTTTCAAAATGTGAACGACGGCCGTTGACAACTGAATGGAAATTCATTATTGCCTTGTGTGATATAAAGTTTGATGCGGTTTATGCTCATTAAAATGCTATTGGTTTGGTTATTACAATATTCGTGACTTTGAAAATGAGGCATAACTGGGAAATGCTTAGAGGTATGGTGTACAAGGACCAATGATAAAATTGTACAACATTTGTGTCCCAATTTCAGTTATTTTATTGGCACACAGCGCAAGGGAATGAGATTTTTCCAATTGAGATCCAAGATGGCAGACCATAAAACTTGTCCATGATCTGCATCAACTTGCATCCCATGAAACCATTTGATGTAAATTGGAATATTGGAAACAAGACCAAGAATATCAAATCAAGTTTGACATGTAAACACTGTAAGATTGAGAAGAAGGGGTGTGATTTTCCTTGAAAGAGAAACCGCAATGATCATCAAAATCATTACGTTTAATATATAGCTTAGATGGAAGTTCTGGCTGATGCAGAAAATCGTAAGATTTTCAATTCTGGAAGATACATTATCCAGTTCTTGTTATCTTAAAGTGAAAAGGGGCTTGACAAGATGTGTTTTTTTCTGCCATGAGAGTGGATCAGTCAGTTACCATAGTACATTCAGTTAAACGAAGATAACGTCAATCAAAAATTTAATTTTGACAATTTTTTTAGTATATTTCATCTAAGCCTTACCTATTCAAAAAAAGAAAAAAATGATAACTAACTTAGTTTATGTATACTTGTATCCCTGTTCAACTTTCTGTGAAAGCTCTCCCAACCAGAACCTGAAGGTCATGTAATTGTCATGGAGTAAGACATATCGAGAGCAGGAAAATTGTGTTCTGTTAGAAGAAACGATTTTTGCCTGAATGGAATATTCAATATTGATAAAAATTTCTTCAGACTTCAAAAAATTCCATATTTCATAAACTATACATCCGCAGTATACAGTATCAAAATAGACTACCTTTGATATAGAGCTTTAGTTGAACAATCAGATGATCCAGCGTTAACTTTGTTTATGTAGATTTGTGTGAAGTTTGGTAATCTAATATAAACAAAGAGGGTCTGTACAATTGCAACTTCAACCTAAACAGGTAATCTTATTATTTAATACTGAAGAATTAGCCAGCATTTTTTCTTTGAAATGTTTGTGTGATTTCCATGATTATCAAGCAAGCTTAATTCGTTTTGTAAGCAGGAAAGGTAGAAGTTACACTGCATATGTAGTAGACAATGGTCAAGGTTTTCAAGTCATCAACATATTTGGTATACATACTGCATAATTTGGATTGCACATAGTATTTTTACAATGTTTTAATATTTCATAAGCAGTATTGATATTAAGAGATATAATTGTTTAAAACAAATCCATTTTTATGCTAATTGAAGGTGTGCATCTCTGTCAATGAGCCTACAAAACATGTCCAAAAGATCAAACAAATTAATCTAATCAAGTCGTGTCCAACGGTGACAGTTCATGTGTGTGCAACAAGTCGTCAACTGATGAAACACATGGTTGGTGATCCCATCATGAAATGTTCTATTTCTTTGTGCGATATGAAGCTGGACATGTTTGATGCTCGTTAGTTTTGCCTGTTGGTTCTGTTGTTGTATACCTTGTTCTTATTTGATAATGTGACATTACTTCCTTGGATTGACCAAGATTACCACAGCGGGTGTCGTCGATGAAGCAGAAGCCATTTAATCTTCTGGCACATTTTCTCTTTGTATTTTTGCAGAATTTTCCATGAAATTCTTTCTTTTGTTAATATTTTGACCTATTTTTAAGGAGTTTGAGTTTAGATTATGCTTACGTTGTTGTGTTAATATATTTTTATTACATTAGACAGGTAATACCCTAAATCAAATGTGCACGGTAAACTGTATGTACCATTCCTTAGTCATTTAGTCGCCAATCACACGAGAAGCCAACTGTGTTATGGTAACACTTCCATCAAAACAAAAGGCACATGTAAGAATTGTTTGGTTAGTAGAGTGCTTGAATAGTCGGCTAATCAATTATCTAAGTGATCTTTACCTTTATTTTACAAATTTAAGAAATTGTATTAAAATGTTACATCTTTTATTTCAGCTTTGTGCTAGTGAGCTACAGAATGGTGAAGCATCATAATTTCTAGAGAACTGTTAGCAGCTGGGTTCTGATATATAACTGGTAGCTACATACACTGTAGAATGGAGTGTTATCAGTATTGTTTGATAAATGACATTACTTTGAAGATCAAGGGAGCTAAATATTTGAAAATACGGTAATAGTCTTATATTTGGCCAGCAGTTTGCAATATTTTCTCGCCTAAATAACTTCACAAAATTTTAAATCTTGGTGAAAAAATCCAGGAGACTCCAAGTCCTAATATTTGGCCAGTGGATATCTGTTATAGGTTGCAATGAAATCAATCTGACCAATCAATCAGATTTAATCAATCAGTTTATTCGGTGTATATTGCTTTCATATCCACATGAGCAATACACATGCCCTCTGGTTCTTGTTTTCAAAAATTTTCATTCATGTTCCTCAAGTCTTTGTCAGTTACATAGTTGTGTTATAGAAACCAAAGCTGTATGAAAATGTACCACATATTTTATTGACTTTACATCCACTCACACATACCTGTAACATACAAACTGGACAACACTGAATCTTATGAATCTGAAATGTGTTCATCGGACTTCATTGCTCCTCAATAAAGCCAAATGAATGTGTATGGGTCATATCAAAGTTCACGTAATACTTAAAACTGTATTAATCATCATGTAGAACTAATCACTTTTTACACATAAGTTCTACTTCAATTCAAGTGCATCATTTAGATCCACAATAACACGTATCGGGTCAAATATCTGTTGTATGTTCTATTACTCAAACCTGTGGAGAATTCTCCAATGGCAAACAAACATTAAAATCATGATCTCCACTTCACTTTCTGTCAAAACATAACCACTTGTTCATCACATTTACTCTTTACACAAGTTCCAACCAGTTGAACATGTTGTGATAATCCTTGGCATTCATCTGTTGTCATTTATCCATAGCTCATTCCTCCCTCACTGGTAATACAGTTCAAGATTCATTCCATCTTTTATTTCATCTGAGAAATTGGTCAAGGTTTATTTAACTGTTGGACAAAAATGCATAATTATACAGATACAGCATATGAGCCACGATAATAAAAAAACTTTCATAAAATGCAAATTATTTACTATGGTAACCTACATGAAATCTTACTTCATGTATGTACATACCAGGTATGGCAGTATATGAAATTAGTATCCTAGCTGGGTAGTTGCCCATTTATCAGTAATTCTCACCTTACAAAGGAAGCAATTTGATTAACACATGTGAAAATTGTTTAAGGTTGAAGTTTGATCAATCGAACAGTTTATAGATTTTCTTTCATATATACAACAAATATGTATGTCGTATGTGTAAATATTCATTAGTGTTAGAATCTAAGAGCCAGGGAAATCATGCTTTAAATCTACATGTAAATGTGTTTCTAGTACATCATCTTGGTAATCCAAATGTGCTCTTAACTATGATATCATATACCGGTACCTAAAATAACTTTGAATTTTCAAAGTAAAAGTAGCTATATAGCCATGCAATAATTATTGATTCTGTCAGAGAAATAAATAAAGTATGCAGAGTAATAAGTGATATAAAGTGTTTTGTAAATACTGACATATTCCATCTTAAAAATAACACATAACAATCATATACAAGTCACTTGCATTCCATCAATATAAATTACTGTAAGCTACAGTGTCAATGACTATTAACTTTACATGGTTAAATGTTAACCATACAGAACAAGGATACAATCTCCCACTGTTACATGATCTTTATAGATGGTATACCTGCAAACAATGTAAAAACACACAAGTGAAATAATTATATAGAAAATAAAGCCAGACTTGTGATATTCTGATCATAATTGATATCTGTCAATTGACATAAATAAATAATCGACACGGAGAGTACTCAAAAATATAAAATGAAATTGTACTAGTAACATCTGTCCCTTCACAGAGAGATTCATCAATACCTGCTATATCATTATTGAATGTTTACCATCACATGGCATTAGTAGTGCAATTTTATAACTTATATCTCAAAAAAACTTACATAGGTATATGCACTAGGTATGCACCTGGAACTTAATATATACTTACCATTTCTTCAGCACAATTTTTTCTGGTCTTGTTCCTGTTTGGGCAGCTATTAACTTCTTCAGATCTCCAATTTTATCATCAATACTGCTCACAGTCAAGGCTTTTTTTGTTTGTTTTTTCCCCTTTTTTAATTCTTTTAAGAGAAACTTAAAACTGCACATAACTCATGTTTGACTATCTATCTACAATTTTCGTTTTTGTCTCAATCACAGTCAACAGTCCAAAAATAAAATCAACGATACATAGAACCCTTTGAATTTGAGTGTAGTATGCCTCAACAGCTGTATGGGTGTCTTTCATGAACTCTGGTTCACTAGCTGGTCCCCCCGATCTACTGATAAAAGGTGATCCTGTTCTTATGTACAATTAAAACTTACAACAAATATACATGAACATTTCACAAAGGATACTTGCATTTCACTCGCACCTTCTTCCCGAGTCGGTCATTGCACGTAATCTCAAGCATACTGTCGTGATTTGGTAAAGATATATCTCCCAATCTGCAATAGAAATCAGAAGTTTCATCTTTTAATCAACCCCTGAGTGACAGACACAAATCAGCTTTGCGACTTATTTGTATTTTTCATCGACTTTCACACCTAGGATGCTACTATAATCAACTTTTGTTAAAATTGTTTTCGTTTGTATTATTTAGTTCCAAATCGACGTTTTCCCGATGGTTAAACATATGAAAACTTTCACTTGGTCAATCCCATTGTCTACTGTGCTGTATAGCAATGATTCTACAAGTTGTAAAATAAGTAATAAGTCTCACAGAACCTAGAGAGTCTCCAGTTCTCATGAGTATTTCGAACCTATTTAACAGTTTCTCCCCAAAAAAATGTAAACCTTCATCTCTTACCGATCGCAACGTTATCAAAACAACAAATATGGTTGTGGTATAGGCAGAGCTAGCCAGGTGTTATTGCTTAGTTTCGTATAATTCGTTTGTCATTGATTCCAAAGTGTCATTCTAATGAGACTGTGTGTTAATTTGTACTAGTGTTCACTGTTATCATTTTATTTTTCGGTTACATCAGAAATAGTTTTATTATATGTGGGATAGGGAAAAATGGACAATATAATTAGAGTGCCCTCCCTTGGCGGCGGTGAATTTGGGTGGGGGTAAAATGTGCACACTGTTCCAGGACCCGGCCAAATTACCCATACTAGGAAATCAGGCATAAATAATATCTCGAAACAAAAAAATGATTTAAAATTATTTAAGAACATTTATGTAGAAAGTTTGATATTATTTTTTTGGTTGTTCCTGAGATATCACTTATTTCTTAATTTCCTGGTACGAGAATCGCGGCCTAGACGGCGTACACAATTCACTCCACCACGACTCCCTCTCACTAGATGTCAGTCAAAACAGGAAGTTGAAGTACGTTGCAACTTTCATTTTCACAAAGGTAATAGCCTGATACTACAAAACGAACACTGTAATCCTCTATTTAATATGTAAATGAAGCAACATTGTTCTTGTAATCCAGATATAGTTTGGACAGTGTAATACCGGTTACCCATTTATTGTCTATCACACATGATCCGGAATTAGTGTCTTGTTATATTGTAGATACTGTACGTATATATGCAAGTTAGAATGGCGATATGTCAAATAAAACAAATGATGTTGTGGATATATCTTAATAATGTTTTTATCACATTATTAGCATACCACCATCACATGGTGTGCTATTCAAATCATCCTACGTCCGTGGTCCATCGTCCGTCGTCCGTCCGTAAACAATTTCTGTTATCGCTATTTCTTGTGTAGTACAGGATATGTCTTTCTCAAATTGTATTTGTACGTTTCCCTTGGTCCCTAGTTGTCCCAATTTAATCTAGATTTGACCAAAGAAAGAAAATGGCCGTAAGGCGGCAATCTTGGATTTTGACTTTGAAAGTTTGTAATCCCAATTTCTCGAGAAGTGCATGATGAATCTTTCTTAAATTTCAGATGTAGGTTCCCCTTTGTCCTTAGTTGTGTCATTTCGATTTAGGGATGATCGGAAAAAAAAAAAAAATGGCCCACATGCAGCTGTTTTGGATTTTGACTTTGAATTTTTGTTATCACTATTTCATGAGAACTACCCCATAGATCTTACTCAAATTTCTTGTATAGGTTCCTTTAGGCCCCTAGTTGGGCCTGTTTAGTTTAGGACTGATCAGGAAAACAAAATGGCCGAAGGCAGCCATCTTGTATTCTGCCTAATAAAGATTGTTATTGCTGAGTGGATATCTCTTAAATTTCATATGTATGTTCCATTTGGTCTCTCCTTGTGCTGATTTCATTTTCGGGTTGATTAGAAGAAACAAAATGGTTTCCAAACAGTCAATTTGGATTTGGCAGGTAAAGATTATCATCGCTATTTCTGTAAAGGAATGTTAAAATGTCTGATCATTAAGAGCAAAAATAGAGAAGAGAAAAGAAGGGAAAAGATGCGACATTCAAAGGGCATATAAAGATCAAACAATGGTGGGCAACATTGCCATTATATATTTATCTTGATTCTACATGACTAAGACTAGCTGTTTTCTACTGTCTGAATGTAGATATATATGTATACAGTGTATATATTGTTGAAGTATCACAAAGTGGTAGACTTACTAAAGCCCGGAGATTTGAAATTGAACCCTGAATAGATATTTACTTTGTTGCATGCATGTCTGATGCATATTCCATGAATGAACTTTCTGCACTGTCAAACACTTTCGTTGATCGTTTGAAGTAGACATTTACCCTGGATGCACTTATTAACTTATTGTCAATAATAGATATCAACCTAATTAAAGATTCCATGCATTGCTATAATGGCCACATAATTTAGGAACAATAGCTGTATAACTTGTAATTACAATGTAGAAACAAGCATGATCTTTATTGTTCTCCTTGTGTTACAGGCAGTCAAATGTGTCTGTAACTAAAACTTGGAATTTACTTCACTTCATATGTATTGTGCTGCATGTATATCTTTGTTAACTTATCTTATTTCAATAAGAATGTTTTGTTATTATTTTGATTCACAGATTAGTGTTGGCAGTATGTTGCTACAGGTGTTAATTCTGGGCCTGTCTTCGGTCTTCTTATCCCAGGCTGTTGATGTTGATCCCAAAGGATATATACTGTATTGTCCTTGTATGGGTGAGTTCTTTTTAGATGGACATGCTGTTGTCAGTAAAATGGAATATTGTTACACCTGTAATCTAGATCACTTTCAGCTTTGAAGCATGGATTTATAATTACTAGACTGGGTTCTACCGATGTGGAAATTTTACATTAGTACCAAGTGACTGCATGGATGTACTTTTTGTGTTTTGACAAGTATTGGGTTTCACAAGTCAGCAGTTTGACCTGTTTTCTGTAAAATCAGACATAAAAATTAGCCATTAATTGTATACATGTATACCATACTTATAAATATATTAGCCGACAGTTGAGTTAAGATTATTCAAGTAATGACATGTTTCAGTACAAGAAAAGTCAATGATAAATTGCTAAAATAAGATGCATGTATATGCAAAAGAGAAATAAAAATTTTCTGTTTCTCTTTAAGAGTAATTAAAAAATGAGTAAACCAAAAATTACTTTAATGCGTATTTGGTAGGTAAATAATGTCTGTACCAATAAACTGACATAAACGTGATGTGTATATGTATATATATATATACCACAGGTAGATTTGGAAACCAAGCAGATCATTTTCTGGGGGCACTTGGATTTGCCAAGGCTTTAGACAGGACTTTGGTACTACCTCCATGGGTAGAATATCATTTTCCCAAACCCAAGTCGGTAAGTGTCATTTATGAAACACTACTTTGGAAGTTTGATATAGAAAAATCATTGTTTGTCAGTGTACGTATGAAAATGGCAATAGTTCCAAGTCTTTAACAATGAGTCTAGCCTATGAAACTATTTTTTTTTTATATTTTTAAGGTTCAGGTGCCTTTTGACACTTACTTCAAGGTAGAACCACTAAGGGCATATCACAGAGTCATGACAATGGAATCGTTCATGAAAAAGCTGGCCCCTACCATCTGGCCTCCAAAGGACCGTGCAGGTAACAGTTCTCACGATAAAAACTGCCAAACTGAATCAGCTGGAAAATAATTTGCTTGTATCCACTAGCCAAATGATCTAAAGTGTTGTTATGTAAAACATGCAACTTGAAACATTTCCAGACTATGTGTTTCTATGTTTCTTAAATAGCTGTTGGATGAATGGTATCCGTTTCTTTATGTCAAAGCTTATTGATGAGAATGACCTTTGACTTCTTATCTCTTTGTCATTCTTCTCCACCTTACAACATATTACTTCACCACCCTTCAATCTTCTTCACTGACATCATTCTGCCCCACAGCTCTTTCTACCTTACACCATTATACACTATTGGTTTGTTAACAGGTTTTTCGTCTCCTTGACTCCTCTTGTATTCGGGTATTGTCTCACGGGCGAACGTGAGTGTTCTGGCGACGTTTATACACTATATATGCTTTAACTCTGTATACTTTACCTCATTCTCACATACCCTTCACTATATTTCCTTTCCTTATACCACCTACACAGCTGTACCCCATCCAGCACAGCCGATTTTGCTCAGATCCACCTTGCATCACCTTACACTACTCAACTGCTATCTACGCCACTCTATTCCAGACCACACTATATTGTTCCCTCTAAATCACCCTGTGCAAGTATGCACAAAACTGGACAAGTGGAAAATGGGCAGCTCAACCACACACCTCGTTGTCCCACCTAAACCATCTGTTGTAATGTTACATATGATGTCACAGGTACATCCCTGTTTAGATTTGATCGAGGGCGATATCTTCTAGCTAGTTATATCCTGTTAAAAATTAGTATATTTGATACGAAAGCTATAGCTATAATGACTCATTGTAATGTTATTATCCTGTTAAAAATTGTATATTTGTATACCTTAGATGTCTTTTCAAAATAAAAAAAACGGCCGCATAGAAAACAATGTTCACATGAAGTCTTTGTGGTGTCAACTTTTTTATTGTTTTATGAAATGGTGCATTTTTCTACATTGTAGTTTGATCACCCATTATTTATTATTATTGATACGAAAAAGAAAACATAGTATTGGTGTCAACAAGTAGAAATGGTGTTGTAGTTTGTTTCTATTATGTTAAATGTATTGTAATGATAAGGTCTGTATGTAGTCAATTGAGGTGTACAACCTGCATACATGCTACATTTTTTCAATATTTAAGTCAAGATGACCTAATGTCATCATGCTTCATCCGTCATTGTGCACTTATTCTTTAAAACCCTACTCTTCTTTCATACCTTGATGGATTTCAACCAGATTTGGTCTGATGCATTATTGGGTGAGGGTGATCATTTCTTAAGTTCAGAAAGTTGATTTGACCCTAGTTAATAGGAGTGATATTGATACACTTGAAAGATCACAGGTATCATATATGTTATAATCTTTAAATGACTTCTTCTCTATAACCATAAGGCCAAGGATGTTGATATTAGGCCTGTAGCATGCTTGGATGAAGGGCTACCAACTTTGTTAATATTAATGACATTGACCAATTTTTTAAGTCACAGGTATCAAATGTGTTAAAATGTTTAAATTACTTCTCAATAACCAAAAGGCCCAGGGTGCTGATATTGGACCAACTGTCCAGGTCACAGGGGTGAAATGTGTTGAAATATTTAAGCAACTTCTTTTCAATAACAGAAAGGCCAAGGGTCTTGATATTGGGACTGTTAATTGCTTTTTCAATCAGCAATACGTCCGGAGTAATGGCAATTGTGTAGTGCACAAATAAAGAATATGATTTCAAGTTTGCAGAAAATGTCTTGATGAACATACAATATCTTCTATGTAAGCTGTAACGTAGTTGAGTAAATTCTTTTAAGCCAGTGTTGCCTCTTTCATATATACCGGTAGGTCTTTATAGTTTGATGACCGTTAAGATCCATGGGCTTTTTGTCTAAAGTACAATATTTTTTGGCAGTGTTGTGTTACCAGGCTCGATATGGCAGCGCAGAAAAAAACAGTTGTAATGCTAAGGAAGGAAATCCATTTGGGCCGTTTTGGGACACCTTCAACATCGACTTTACAGGCTCCATATTTTATGGTCCCCTTGGTTATGATTTGATGAATCTTCAAGAAATGAAAAGATGGAGAGACAAGTAAGATATCTCTTTTAACTTGGCTACATTTAAATGTAATTCATGTTGTATTCATTATTTGCCTTTTTGGCCAAGGACTTTATTGAGGTAAAGCCAAGTCTGTATTTTAAATTCTATATCAAATGCTGTTTGAATGGACACATATAAAGAGAGACAGGGGACGTATTATTTTTTCCAGGTATTTTGTTTTCAGATACTATACTTGAAAGATTATAGGTTATATGGGAGTATTTCATTCACAGATTTCCAGCATCACAGTACCCTGTGTTAGCCTTTACTGGCGCTCCGGCTGCTTTTCCTGTACAATCCTACAGCGTCCATCTTCATCAATATCTCAAGTGGTCAACCAAGGTAGACACCAAGGCAGAAAAGTTCATCAAGGAAAACTTTCCCGAGGGAGCATTCATCGGAATCCATCTTCGCCTCGGTTCAGACTTTGTAAGAGCATTGTGATTCTTCATCCATGTCAATCAATTTGTGGTAAAAAAAAATGGATACTGAGAAAAATCTGTATCAGAAGAAAAAGCAGGCCATGTTCCCTTAAAAACACTAAATATAAGATAGATAAGCTATGATATAAACTTTATCTATTTTACAACAATTGCAAAACAAGCTATATCAACTTATACTAATCACTCTTGTTGGCCCGGATGTAAGGGCGCGAGGGGTCTTATTGTGGAAGGAAACCGGAGTACCAGGGTAAAACCCACATGGTAGGGCAGATGACCCTTACCTTTTCAAGTCCTTTCAAGGATGAAAGGCGAGTGCGTTACTACTGCACTACCCGAGCACCCATATGCTATCTACACTTTTGCAAAACATTAAGGATATGATACATGTGCAGAATGAAAATGTAATTCCATTGCAATGAACGCATGAAAAGACACTTAAAGTCTTGGTAAACGTATATATGTAATACAAAATATAAGAGCAAGCAACATGAACTACATTAGAATAATATTAATAGATTAACTAATTTCAATCTTCATATTGCAGGTAAAAGCTTGTGAGCACATGAAAGATAGCCCATCAATGTTTGCAGCAGCCCAGTGTATTGGCTACAGAGGAGAGTATGGTAAAACTACAAAGGAGATGTGCTATCCGTCTGATGAAACAATTGTACGCCAAGTAAAAAATGCAGTCAAACGCATCAAGGCTAAAGGAGTGTTTGTGGCTACCGACAGTCGTGATCTCATTGATAAAATGTCGAAGGCCATGAAAAACGTAAGTGATTGGAGACCCTTATCGTTGCTCATAAATAGTTTATTTAGCTTATGTTGCTTGTAATTTCTCGTTATCCATATGAAATATACAATCTTATTGGATGTTTCAAAAGTTATATGAATATCTACTGTTCAAATTATTTTCCATATACAGAAATGTGTCTAAGATGCCAAAACCAATGTTAATTGATAAAGACATAATTCACACATATAATGTAGATATACCATACTGTTTCTCATGTTTCAGGTAAAATTTGCAAAGCTTTCGGAGGCGAACCCCCATGTAGATTTAGCACTGTTGGGAAAAGCTGACCACTTCATAGGAAACTGTATATCAACGTTTACTGCGTTTGTTAAACGTGAAAGAGACAATAACAACATGTCATCAGAATTTTGGGCATTTAAAAAGAAAAGTCATGATGAGTTGTGATTCAAATGTACATGCTTATGAACACAAATGTTTGCATGAACATTATTTTTTTAAATGTTATATTTTATAAAAGTTTACAATTTTTCATATACCTCATCATGTTTTCACTCAAAAGATTATTTTATGATACTGCCAATGATATAAAAAATCCAGATTTCAACTGTTTTGTTTTTTTATCTTTAACCCTTCTTAGTCAATGTCTTTTAAGTAGATATATCTGCTCACCGTTATTGGTGAGACAGAGATATCTCAAAAAAAAGTGAAAGATAATGGACTTGTAATCATGAGGCTTGCTTGCTTTGGGTGTGCCATTTTCACTTATCTCGTCCTTTTTTTTCAAATTTATAATTGATATTATTTTATTAACGGTCAGTTGGTTGATGAACATCGTCGCATCAGATGTTGGAGATGATCATGTACATTCCAATGTAATATTAAGCATGCATTTAGCATCGCCTATCATTGTAGTGAATCCTTACAGGATCAAGTTACATGCCATTTTACATAAAGATTCAGACTCCCTAATAAAGCACAAAGATTGTGCATGTATATACAAGAGGTGGGTCATGTGATAAAAGTTTGTTATAATGTTCCTGCTAACCTACTAGGGAATGGTCATTTCAAGATGGCAGACCTAGATGCCCACGAATAGTAGGCGCTCTCTTTAAGCTCCAAAGTCACTGGTTTATGAATACAATCCGATCATGACAAGTACCTCAGAAAATTTGTAGTACAATATTTGAATGCTGCTTTCATGGTATTAAACAATTGTAAGCCCTTTGCAAAGTTGAGCGTACTGAATTTGGCATCGTAGCAGGACTTGCTGTGATATTTTGTTCATAGTAGTCTAGGGTATGTTTTTAATGTCAGGGAGATTCATCAATAACATCTGCTTTTAACAGATATATATCATTAGAAAACTACCTAAGGAAACTCCTAAAATACGGGCGAAATCGATTTAAAAAAAATATATATTGGATAAAATCATGTACTATTTGATGACATATTGCTGGTTGTAATTGATGAATGGTCAAGTTCCATGCAACCGAGATCGGGGTTTTTGCGCCACGTATCACGACTGCTTGCTGTTAGGCAATGTATAAAGACGCCTATTCCCGACTTTGTGAAATTGTTTTACAGTATTTTTAACTGTGTAATAGTTACAAAACATAGTTTAATAGGTGCATGGTTCAACTAACAAATACATACTCCTTGTAATAGGAATAGTATTACATATTAGTCAATAAAATATTCACAAAAAATGCTTGGTATCACCATTGAGCGTACAAGTTCAGTCCTATTTCAGGGGGAGGTAACTCGAGTACAGTGCACAATAATGTTGATATGAATATAACTTTGTAGTAGCCTAAGTTGTCACACGAAAAGAATCAATTTTCCTCCCACATTATCACATTATTGGCAGCACGAAAGCTGCCCTGTGAAATCCTAGCTGAAAGTTAGATGTCAATGAAAATGGCAAATGCTTTCTGTTCGTTGAACACAAATGTGATCATTTCATTTTGTATTTTGCTTGTTATCAACGAGTTTTAATGTCTTCCATATGCATTTAAGTCAAACTCCATTTGACAGGACCGACTCACTGGCTGGGAGAGTTACACAAAGCTCTTTTTGGATGAGCAGCTCACTGCACATTCACATGGCCTAGAGAGTTACAGGGAAGTGCATAGATTGGTTCACACCACACTCACAGCATGGATGAGCTATACATGAGTACTTTTTGACTGAGCAGCTCACTGTACACACGTATGTACAGTTGGAAAGGTAGTTGTGCATATTTCAACATGCGAGCTGCAAAAAGTACAAAGAGCACTTTTGTGGTGCACCTTTTAAAACCGTATATGTGAGAACATTAATCCAAATATACGAGGTGTGCCCTGTATCACTTTTGTTTATATGAAAAAGAAAAAAGAATATACACCGTCAATATGTGGAACAAATAATAAAATATATCATGCACGAATACTGTGTCCAATAAATGCAAACTGACGTTTTTCCAACACAATATATTTGTCACAGTTTTCATGAGAGAATGAATTATAAATTGTGCCTTTTAAAAATATGGTGGATTATGGACAGGTCATTTTAGACTTCACCAACAGTTTGGAACAGCTGATGCTCACAATTAGGTACAAGTCATCCAAAACATCACAGATGAAGCACCTCTGATATTGTCAACCGGACGATTCACTTCAGATATATCAGTCGGCAACTTCCTGAATTTAATAGTAATTTAAGCCCAGAATTATGGTCAAGTCATCCTAGACGTCATGGATGAATCGCCTCAGATATTGATAACCAAATGAATCACCTCAGATATTCCTGACCGTCATTTTCTTGAATGGTTGAAGCCCACAATTATGGACAAGTCTTCCAAGAAATTATGAATTAAACTCTGGTATTTTATGATCATGATAGCAGATATATCCGAGGTGTTTTTGTCTATTTGGCGATACCAGAGTTTATTTGCTATCATTATCATAAAATATCGGTCATCAAACATATAAATGAAGAAGAAAACTGTTTTTTATAAATAATCCATTTTTATTTTTTTGTAAATGATCCATTTTCAATCATGGTACAAAGAAAATAACACTTTGATGGAAGTTTCAATAATACAAAACAGGTTCAGAGTGTGAACATGAAGATCAAATTATTTTCCAATACCTTGTAGACAATTATATAATTACAAGCAAATCATTACAGATACGTAATAGATACATAATGGGCACGAGTAATGTATCCGAAAAATCACACAAATCCAAAGGACGAGTGTGATATATCCGATACATTACGAGTGTCAATTATGTATCCGTTTTATCCAATGACCACTGAGGTTTTCTCATCACGTGCCAAGGGGTGGAGCTAAAACCTGTTAGGAGCCGATTAGTGTCAAGTCGATGATTTTCCCGCCATTTTCTTACCCATCCCATTTTCTATCACAGTAATAAATCATTTCATTAGTAGATGTCAGAGATGTCGGAGCTGGACAACGTATGGAAAGACTTTAAAAACATTGACACTGGTGTTTTCAGCATTTTTTATATTGTTTTATGTATTAAAAGATTTGTTCGAAATCTTTCCTATGTCTTTGTTTATCTGTCTCGTCCACTTGGAGATGGGCACCACTTCCCTAATAAGGTATGGACTAATCAGAGAGAACCATGCAATATTTTAGATATCACATATGTGATATTTGAAATTTCGCATGGTATGGGATTTATCACCAGGAAAAGATCAAAGAAAAACCAAGGCGTCATTGGATAAACAACACTGCTGCATTCATCATCCTCATCATCACAACAATCATCCTCATCATCCTCATCATCATCCTCATCATCACAACAATCCTCCAATCATCATCCTCATCATCACAACAATCATCCAATCATCACCATCATCAGACTTAATACTTGATGATACAAGAACAAACTTGATCATCAGTGTCATAATATTGTCATCCATTCATCATCAACAATAACATACATCCATCATCATCATTTTCATCAACACCATCAGACTTGCAGTGAAGTGTTTTTGCATGTATGACTCAATATAACCACTTTAATTTCTATACAATGTACATACCATGTAAGTTCAGCTATCTACAGTGTATCACAAGACACACACACCCTTACAAACACGCGCATACACACCATCACACACGCACACATCCTCACACACACCAACGCTCAAATATATGCATGTATTTAAATATTCTATCTTAGTGGACAGACTTACTAAAGTTCCAGAATAGGCTTAAATTTACTCCAATCAACTGCTGTTTATAGAGATCCGTTTTACTGCTATAGATATATTTTTGAGTCCAGTAATGGTCCTTTATGGCATTGATAACTGCATTAAGGTGTAGAGAATTACTACATCTACTATTATATATGTAAAACTTGATAACAAGCAATATTTTATTATCAACAGGACAATTTTGCAATACTATTCCAAAGAGAAAGGATTCTTTGTTATAAGCAAACAGAATAAATAAAATATCAAGGAGAGATTCAGATTGCTGAAGTAATGTCTGGACCTCTTGGCACTCCCAGAGACAGTGCACAATTGTTTCATTTTCCCGATTACAAAAGGTACATAAAGGGCTATCAACTAGGTTTATTTCATGGAGAAAAATATTTGAAATACTGCAAACATAGAAATTCATCCATCCTTGGTCAAGTCAATGGAAATATCGAAATACTTGTTATCTACAAATAGTATTGGCACATTTTTTTTCCTTTTGATTAATCACTGTTTCAATGCTTGCAAGTGATTTTCATCAGACTAAATTCATGCAAGATACCATCTGCATTTGCTCTTTCTCGCTCTTTCTTAATCATTTATATTTTTGGCATAAACAACTTGAAAAATAAAACTCCATTGAATATGTTTTTTTTTTGTGTATAAAAGTTCTCCACAAAATGGTGCTGTACATTAAAAATATATACAAAACACTAATCCAGAATTTCTATACAAAACTGTACTATGATATATATACACACCCCTTGATCCTAGTTTATTCAAGACTGTTTTCTACAAATTTGAACAGCAGGAACAGCATGACACAGTTTTAGGTTTCCAACCGCATTCAGTTTATCCACAATTCTGAAGAGTTTTTTTCCCAGTACATCTTCAATTTCTTTCTTTTCCAAATTTTTCCATCATTAACCCTGCTTTGGTCAATTGCTTTCCCACATTAATGTGGTGTTGGCCGTATTTTTCTGTTTCTTGAAGAGCAGCAGACTTTCATTTTTTTATGGGCTTCAATATGTAATCATCATCAAATTTTTCGGCGATATCTAACACAGAAAAGTCACATGGCTCAATGGCACCTACAATGTCAGGTGATGTCATATCGTGTAAATCCTCATATTCATCCAGTTCAGCGAATGATGACTCCTGGATAAGGTCTGTAATAAAGATATCTTCATATAATAATGGCCACTTCAGTCATTTTATATCTACTAATTGTTTTAAACCAATATTGTTCAGATAGTCATTTACAGTCCTTTAGCAATGTGAAAATATATAAAAAAGATACTAAGACTAGGTCATGAAAGTAACAGGCAATTACTAAGCCTGGTGATAACAAAATAGTGTTATAAGGTTATTCACAAAAGATGATGGTGGTCCAAG